GAGTTCTGCCATCGCAGTGTCCAGTGTAAATGGGTGGGATGGAGAAGATACAATAGTCCGGTGTTTCTGTGTTTGGAAAACGGTTAGCTGCTAGTCACATCTGGGAATGTTCTGTATCAGTATCCTCGCATCTGGTTTTGGCATGGTGATGTATACAGAACATGTCCTAAGTTTGCTACAAGAATATTTTCATCTGTATACAACTGTCGCAAACTCATCTATGTTAGTTGTAGCTCTTGATATATGGTACAAATTGCTTTACTTGTGCTGCAATGCTCAGTACTAGGCTGTGGAATATGAATATACGCAATCGATTGGTAATACATGGGGAGATTTGGCTGTAGGTAAAGGGACTTGTGTAAGTCTACCAAACTCCGTAAACCATGTGTACTGCACAGAACACTAGAGTATTGAGAAGTACACATTTAGACTAGCACGCAGCGCCCACACACTGAATCACATTGTCCCCCGGGAAAAAAAAATGGGGTTATTTTGTAGTTGCGAAAACTATATCTAAACCAATGGGAATCTTTATATACATAGCCACCCATAGCTTCACACTGACATGCTGCCCACCATCCAATCTAGGGCGAGCGGCACAACTTCAGCTCCAGACCATCCGACCCGGCCATGCTAGAGTTCTATCACAACAACGTACGCGAATCACGCACACTCATCAACCCCGCATCGTTTGGAGCGGCGAATGCTGTCAACAAGAAAGCGCCTGTGAGACCATCACGACAGTCGTCGACTGTGAGCGGCCTATTTGAATCTGGTGGGCTGTGTAGCGTTATGGTCTTATTGTGTAGTGGTTGTAAGGAGGGTTGGGAGGAATAGACTTTGCCTGAGCTGATGTTCGTGTTTCCTGTTACTTTGTATATGGCCGGGGTGTGCGTATGCAGTACTAGTTTGAATACATGGTTATTCTGTAGTAGTAGTTCGGATTCATAGTTATTCTGCGGGTGGCTGGTGGTGTGTTTGTGCAACTCGATGATTCAGTATAAGAAGTTCTTATAAGGAGACTATCGGCCATCCAATGACAAGCACGACTACTGCATCCCCGCATCCTGCTCCTGGCCCAATCACGACAGTCCCAAAGGCTTGCCCTACATTCAGTAATATCGGTGGCCAGTAGATGCATGTGTAGAGGGATATCTCACGCCGCCCCTCATGTCCAACTATTCTGTAGGGGCGACTCGATTTATTAATACGATCTTTTCTAAAATTCTGCAATCCCCCCCAGATCTACATTGAATCCCGCTCAAGACTGATGTTGTTGTTTTTTCTCCTTTTCTGAGGATTATAACGCAATTCCATCGAATACGATCTAGCACTCGCAAATGCACAAGTCTCCATCGAGCACTCGTCAACGCTTTGTACCGCAATAGTCCTCAATCGCACTCGTATCATCGTCCAACACCCATCATCCGAAATCCTAACCCCTACCCTAAACCTTAAACCCTAAACCCTAAAACACTACTACAGTCGACAGTCTTCTCCTCGAACCGTTGGGCCAAGAGTTTTCCTTAGACTTAGGCACTCCGTATGGTACAGGAGAGGGCGCTGTGGGTTCTCTCCGTATGGATGCAAAGATAGGCTCAGACTCAGCTCTACTCGATCAGTACAATGCGTATGTCGGGTTGAATTAAGTACTCACCCCAGTGTCTCGTACTGTTTGAGTGCACGTACTACTACACACGCAGTCAGTGCTTGATATCTGTGCAGTGTGTAATAGTGATGGAGTGTGATCTGTGGGATCGTTTTCCCACGAGAACAGCTGTAACGTGTTTCAACAAGTAGGTGAAAGTGGATTCGTGAGGCTTGAAGACCTGTCAATGGTTCTGCCAAGTGCTCTGTTGTATGTTGTTTTAAACGGATCAGCGAGAGGGACGGCCCGATGAAGATGAAAGCGGTCGAACCACTGTCGCATCTGATTCTACTGAAACGTAGTATTTTATATTACATACTAGAACGCCTCGTGCATAGGATAGTGAATGTATAACTACCCAAGGTGTTAACGTATATCTACCCAAGAACGTATAGTGAACTAATATATCTACTCAAGGCGTTAACATATATCTACCCAAGAACGTATAGTGAACGCATATCTACCCAAGGCGTTAACGTATATCTACCCAAGGCGCGTAATCAGTCCATCGTTTTATTACAATCGTCACTCCCAACAGATCGACAGACGGGTTGTTAGATACTTTTGGTTTGGAATCGGCGGGTCTTTCTGGGGATCTCTTCCCTGACATCGACCATATGGACCTTACCTGCCTACCTAGCTCTTTGAAGGTTTGTCCGCTGGTTGCAGTAGTGTATGTGCAGTTTGTAGAGTTGCATGGACACTGGTTGTCTCGGTTGTACGTACATGCGATACGGATTAACTCACGAACTTTATGTGGGTACAAATATAATATATGGCTATGTAAACTTAATGACAGGCCAGACTATTGATATCAGCACCACATATGATTCTCCCACATCGACTTTTTATTAGTATATCTGTCCGCTTGGTTGAAATGGTATGTGCAATATAAAAGCTCATGGGACCGCTGCTGAATATCCGGACTTAATCGTACAAAGCTGCAGTCGACAGTCGACTTTCCACCACATCTGCACGTCTCGGTCCAGTACAAACCAATCCCCACTCTTTGGAACCTACAGTTAGAGACAGGGGTGTTTCGCGGCGCAGCTGTACTTAAATTGTACAGGAGCACAGGGTTTCTTCAGACAGGCAGCGCAAACCTCTACAGCACAGTTTAAACTAACTTTGACCGGATTCGATAGCTCAACTGACACTTAGTAAATATAATTTTCTTTATACTCAACTGACACTTATTAACTATAGCTTTGTTTATGCTCCATATATACTTCGACCGCGCTTTCTGACCTAAATCGACTCCCATTTCTGTACCCACAGCTGAATTCGCAGTCCATGAATCTCGCGTTGCCCACCACCAGTCCATCGCCAACGAACGGATGGGTCGGTCCGTTGCACTCGCACAGCGTGGGGTCTAATCTCAACACCCTCACACTAAACCACGCGATCATGGGCAAGAACAAATCACCCCTGCACACGCACACGCACACACACAACACACACACCCAGACCGACACGCACGTCCACATAGACAACCCCGCAAGTATCAGTATCCATAGCAACAGCAGCAGCACAGCCAGTCCCACAAACACAGACGCAGCTACCAACAGCACTAGTGGTGCTAGGGGCTTCATGCGTGCACGTGATACGGCCAATACCGTAATCAAACCGGGATATTCACTGACCAGGCACACCAGTTTCCAGCACAACCCCGATGCAGTTTCTCATGCAAATATGTTCGACGGAGATCTGGCGCTCTTGGATAGTAGTCCACTATCAGCAACCCCGGGGAGCGCCACTGCGCTACAACGCCAGGCAAATAGCCTCAACGCAACGGAATTACATGGACGGAACCGATTAAATACCAGGTCCATGTCCGTGTCTAACGGGAGTAGAGGCTTGCACCACAACACGGTGTTTGGTAGCAGTAAGCTTGATACCGGTTCGCTAAGCCAACAATACGGGACCGATGTGTCGTCACACGCACAGCAGCTGAGCGACCTGGTGATGTCCACGGCCACGGAACTGACGCTACACGAAAACCCGCACGAACGGACCAACACAAGTACACACCTCTCCTCTCACACACAGACACAAACACACGCTCTGAGGGGCCTCTCTTCTCCCTTGAGCAGTCACGATACGTTTGGCAGCACGCACCACCGCCCATACGGAATCAATGAACTCGGTGTTAATGACACTGAGGATCGTAACCATGACAACGAAAATGGCAACAGCAGTAACGATGACAATGACAGATACCAAAATCGTCGGGGCACACAGTCCGGGTACTCGGGTGCGTTGGGTTTGCACACGGACATGCTTAGAAATGGGGTGGAGATGCTCAGAGAAGATGGCCGGAGTGGGCAGAAAGGCAAGATAGAGAGGGAGATGGAGGATGTCTTATTCATGATGGGCAATGAAGGCATGTACAACCCCGGCGACGACGAAAGCTCTCAAGACGCCTTTCCCGATACAAACACTCAGGCATACACGAAGACGGCCTCGTACTCTCAGCACGCGCACCTGCAAAGCACACAAGCGGACCACACCTACAAGGACATGCGGGGAATACGGCTGGACGACGAGGACAATCCATTTGGGCCTGACAAAGGGAATGTTTCATGTGGCGGCTTCAGGGGCACCAGTCCGTCTTTTAAATCGAATTCGAACGGGATGCAATGGGGCGGGGACGGTGTGCACAGCAGACATTACTCGCATGGCGCCCTGGTGCTGGACATGGATCTAGATCTGGATATACAGAAAGACCTAGACCTGAGAATCCAGAAGGATTTAGATCTGGGGATGCAGAAAGATCTAGATCTAAGAATACAGAAGGATCTAGATCTAGGAATGCATAAGGATCTAGATCTAGGAATGCATAAGGATCTAGATCTAGGAATGCAGAAGGATTTAGATCTGGGAGTCCAGAAGGATCATGATTTAGGAATCCAAAAGGATTTAGATTTGGGCATACAAAAAGACTTAGATCTGGGCATGCAGAAGGATCTAGATCTGGGCATGCAGGATCTTGGTATGGGAGGACACGACGGCGATACTGGGTTGGAACTAAGTGACGTAAACATTAATGTAGGCCTTTCAGGTGACTTCGGAGCTGTTGGTCTGAGTGAGGGTGGACTACCCGATTGCGATATGCTGCTAGGCTCACCAGGGGTAATGAATGCTTTCATGTATTGACGTGAAGTGCAACTGTGCTGAGTACACTTGAAGGCGTAACCAAATGATACACATATACAAGCGAATAAGTACAATTTGTTTTTAAGTGGCGTGATATTGCTTCCACAACAGAGATCAGCATATATATATATGTATATATAAATATAATTCTATTTTG